TTAGATAGTACTACCACTTGTCCGATAGTGCAAAACGCGGCGATGCCGAAGTGATTACATTGTTCCATGAGTTTTGACACTACAGCAACACCAAATTGATCACTCAGAAGTAATTAGAATTGCATGGTTTTGGTGTTGTTGAATTGCGCATTTTCTTGCGAACATTTTGGTATACAACTTGCCTATACTTGCTCTAGGATGGAGCTGTCTTGGGCACAAATTCGCTTCCTAATCATACACGAATGGCATCTAGAGGAAAATGCTAGTGAAGCGGCGCGCAAGATTAGTGGAGCTTCTTGTGGACGACCCGAACGCAAACTGATCCACCAGACTGTTCACTCCGGCTTTGAACTTCGTGAACCACTTCCTTGCCGTCCTTTCTGCAACCGTATCATCGCTCCAAGCTCCATCAATCTTGAACGTCGCTTCACTAGCAGGCGAGTTTGTTCCCGAGACGGCTCCATTTTGAAACAAGTATGGACAAGTTTCAATATGCCTGGTAATCATTTTTTGAGCCACGCATGTCAGTGGTCTGTCAATGAGGGCTGAATTATAGAGCCCGATACACGTGTTTCGATCATGCGATCTCGTCAGTCGGGCAGATACCCTTTCTCGTTTTTTGCCAATCCTGTGTGGATCAAATTAGTGTAGGGACTGGAATATCCACACAGGACTGGTAAATAGACGAGAAAGGGTACTGCCCGACTGACGAGACCGCAAGATCGAAACACGTGTTTCGGGCTCTATAAATCAGCCCTCATTGACAGGCCACCGACATGCGTGGCTCAAAAATGATTTCAAGGCATATTGAAATTTGAGCTGTGGTCTTATGAAAACACTCGAAACGAAAGTTATGATATGGACAAGTTGTATGCCAAAATGTTGGGAAGAAAATGCGCAATTGAGCCATGCCAAAATTACGCAGTTTAAATTGCTTCTGGTTAGTAAATTTGGTGTCTATTGCTGTAGCGCCAAAGCCAATGAACCAACCAAAATAAGTCTGGTTTTGAGGTGGTTTTCATAGTGTGCCGTAGGCACGCAGTGGAAATCGCGTTTCATACTCGAAGATCTCTCCGCACAAAAGAGTTATAAATGCTCAAATAGTATACGAGCGTTTGGAGGTAATGAAGTAGTATGAAATTAATGCGAAAATCTTGAAGTTTCTCCTTTCGAAGCGACGAAAAAATCCTTATTATTTGCCAAAATTCGCGCACAGCTTGCGAAAATCGATCAACAGTCGTGCTCAAAGGGTTGAAGAACTCAGAAGTGGCTGGATTCAGCTAGTAGCTATAGGTTTTTGACAGCGTGAGCTGAGCAGGTGGTGGTGTAAATGCATTTGTAGTTCGCAAGATTGAGACTTTTTTCTTTTGAAAATGGCCAGTTTTAAGTTGAAGTGGAATTGGTGGCGCCTCGTGGAGACGGTAGACGTCTCGTTGTCTCAGAGTCCAGCAGTGACAGGGCGACCCCAGACGATCTGGTAGCCTTGGCTCAGCAACTGGTATCCGCTCGGTATGTATGACACTATTTTCTACAAGAATTTTCAATTTACTCCTCTTGAAACAGTCTTAAAACGTTGTAACTATTTATCTAACATTGCTGCGTGGTATGCAAAATTCTGTCCGGATGGTTGTTGAACCTACGTTTCGCCCAGACGATTAGGTGATAGGGCTTACCGATATGGATGAAATGCGGGTTCAAGTCCCGGTTCGTCGGAAGTTTAGTATATCATTCAGTGTCTTTGAATATATACTTGTTATCTATTTATTTGTATAGTTAGTTAGTTACTTACACGACCCGTCATCACAATTTTATTTGAAAAATCACAAATTAAATTCTATTTTATTGTGCGGATCACAGTACATCTAGCACTCGATTCGTTTCTCGTCTTCTTGAGTAAAGTAGAATTCTGGTCAAGCATGTCTTCTCTCAATCTCCAGGATAGCCTGGATGTGGCGTTCTTGTTGAGCCGGAGAGTGTTGGGTGGTTGAGCATGGCTCGCTCCATGCGCTCCGCCATGAGCATCACGGCTACTCGGCCACGACGCCCTCGAAATGTATTATCAGTCCAAGTATATCTGATAATTATTTTCGAGCCAATATGTTATGTGGTATCTTATGAGCAACTTATAGAGCCCGAACGGTATCACGTGTATCACCTGTCGTTTCGTTGATCGTCGAATATCTCGAGCGGGCACCATCAACACTTCCATTTTTTCCTATCGCCCGCAAGAGTAGCCCAGTGGGTCCTCCTCGCTCTAGGGATTCGCTGAACGTCATACTATCTTCTATAGCTTTCGTGAAGAAATCGGACCAACGGGTCGGTGATCTTCCTTTAGAGCGCTTGACGTCCCGAGGAATCCAGTCGGTAACGGCTCTCGTCCATCGGTTGTCGTTGAAGCGCATCACGTGTCCGGCCCACCTTATTTTCGATATCCTGGCGTGTAGAGCGGCGTCTCTAATTTTCGATCGTTGACGTAGGTCGGAACTTCGGATCCTTTCTCTCATCTGCGAGATACGGGATACTCCTAGCATCGATCTTTCGACTGCGCGTTCAACAACGCCAAGTGATCATTCTGCTTACGTAGCGACCAGGTTTCTGCTGCATACGTCAGGGCAGGGATAATTGTCGAGTCGAGAAGGTGGGCACACAGTCGTATGTTTTTTGTCCTCTTCACTACATCTTCGATGCTCTCAAACGTTCCCCAAGCCGCTCGTTTTCTCTTGCTCAACTCTGGAGCTAGGTCATTCATCATGTTGATTTCACGACCTAGATAGACGTAACTGGAGCATTCGGAGATTGTCGTTCCGTTGAGCGTGAATGGGGCATTCGAAACCCATCCGTTCCTCATGAACATTATTTTCGTTAGATTCGGTTGAAGACCAATCTTTCCACAGGCGTTATCGAAATCGGTCAACATTCGTTCCGCTTGGCTGATGTTTGGTGTTATGAGAACGATATCGTCAGCAAAGCGAAGATGGTTTAATTGTCGACCGTCGATTTTCACTCCCATTTCGTCCCATTCTAATGTTCGCATGACATTTTGTAGGGTGGCGGTGGATAGTTTTGGCGAAATTGTATCGCCTTGTCGAACCCCTCTTCTTACGTCAATGGTGATATTGTTGTAGAATGGAGACATTTTGGTCGTGAAATCTTTATAAAACTCACGAAGGATCATTATGTACCGAGTACGGACGCCCTGGTTATCCAGAGCCTCTATAACCGCTTCTGTTTCCAATGAATCAAAGGCTTTCTTCAGATCGATGAAAGTGAGACAGAGTGGTCGTTTTTGTACTCTCGTGAAACTTCAATGAGTCTTGTAATCGTGTGGATGTGGTCTATGGTACTAAATCCTTTTGGGAACCCTGCTTGTTCGAGTAGCTGTCCTTCGTCCAGTGTTCTGTCAGTCTTGTTTAGGATGATACACTGCCGCATAGTGATTCATTTCACTTGACGGCACGTGTAAACCTTTTGTCGTCGCCCAATCTATATGAGCGATGTAGGGGCCGCGAGACGATTGGCCAAAGACGAAGGGCCTACCCGACTGATGGTACTGTCAAGGCTGAAACATGTGTATCGGGCTCTATATGTTGCTCATAAAAATTACATGACATGTTGGCTTGAGCGTTGTCTTATCAGAACATTAGAAGCGAACGGTATAGTAGTCCAAGTACAAATTATTCTCTACAACCAAAGTTCTCTTTATGTTGTTTTACAGTGAACTCGTTAAAGGAAGAGCTTTCGATCGCCTTCGAGGTATTGCCGAGCAGATGGAGCACCTCCGTAAAGTTGGTTTTTTCTGACGACTCTGTTGGATGGTAATATCTACATGTGTATTAGCTAGTACTTTTGTAGGCTGCCGTTCGAGTACTAGAAGAAGCAAAAAGAGATGAAGATCTGCACAGTGTGGCTTGTAATATGCAGAAATACCCTGGTCGGATATATCATCTATATCAAAGAAAGGACGGATACAGGTGCTGTTAGACCTCTTCATTCAGAGACGCAAAGTGAAATTTATTCAATTCATTGTTTTGTCGCTTTTCAACAGTGATATGATGGCAGAAATCTACATCTAAAAATGTTGAGTAACACTGAAAACATTAAACTCCAGGCGCAAGAGTTGAACCTGCGTTCTACCCATACCGGAATCACGAGCTACCACCGAGGCCACAGCTCTGCTACCATTCTTTTCTCGATGTAAACTATCGCATATGTGTTACCAGACCGGACACATTGATGGCTGGTTGCTGAAAGCTATGATAGTTCATTTCAAACAGTGATAGCTGAGCGGTTACCTCGATGGATATTACATGCTCTCGGTAAAAGGAACGTGGATTCAGCTCCCGCCCGAGGTCGGATGTCTAGCATACCACTCAGTACCCCTGGATGAATATTATCACAATGTAGAGCTTCCATTTCACCTACTGTCAATAATAATTTTTAAGGTATTTTTCGCTGCTGGCTCCAGATGAATGGGGTAAACCGGAGAAAAGCGAGGAATACGTGAATTCCTATCGATTAGAGTCGGATCGAAGTTGGACTCCTATAGCTGAAATTGTTGAGAGAGATCAAAAGTTTGCAAGTCTTAACAATCTCATGAAGCTGCAAATTCTATGATCGAGATGGTCCCGCAGTGTAGATGTCATGAATCTTTGTTTTTTTTTCTGTAATGATAAGTAATCCGTTAGCCTATTTGTGATGATCCGAGATGTGATGAAGTGGATATCCTCTTCAAGCAATTTTCAATGTGAATGTTCTTTATTTAACCACTTTTAGCAGTGATATGTTTTAGGTATATATATATACTATATATTTTAGACTGCGATGTGCAAATCTTTGAACCTCAGGCGGAAATCGAATCTGCATTTCATCCTTTCCAGGAGCGCTGCTAACCAACTGCATTACGAAGGCTTCTGGTCTGCTATCACTTTTTCTGGACCGTTGACGGTCGTTGTTGACAGATCGATACCTTGTGTTGCAAAAGGAGTGATAATAGAAAAACAGCCTCGATAGTGCAATAATTTGGGTAGCACGCCCCCCCCCCCCCCCGAAGGGTCAGATGCGGGTTCGATTCTTGTTTGAGGTTCAGAATTTTGCATATCACTCAACATTATCGGATGTATACTTTTCAATGTTGTCCAGCTTCTATTTGATTTTTGTTGTTTTTCACGGCAGGGAAAGATGGAAATAGAACCACGAGGATACTAAGATAAAAGAAAAACTCGGGGCACCTCAGGTGGGATTTGAACCCTTGATTATTTTCAGCGGGGCTTACGTCAACTGCTCACATGAGGTTTCGGATTATGACGTACCTCAGCATAGTTTTTTTTTCAAGTTTTTTTTGCTGCTCGTTGTAGATAGATGTGCATAGATATCCACCAGTCACATTTAGGAATAGACCTTCTTTTCCGAGTCTTTTCATCTCAGAGATTTCTTCTATATCGGCGCTGTAATCGCTATAAAATTGCAGGTCAAGTTTTGGCTTGAAATAAAGAGTTTCTGTCATCAGTTCTTTGCGAACACTGTTGATACTTCCGTAATCTATTTATTCAAGTCATTCTTATACCTGTTTTCCTTATTTCTTAAGAAGAAGGTGAACCGACTTTGTCAGAATGACGTCACGAGAAACAGTGATTCTCGACAATGGTGGATATACAATGAAAATTGGAACAAGCCGTGATATCGAGCCGAGGTACCACATTCTTAACACATCTTCACGAAGATTTCTCATGGCGTCATTTTTAAAAATGCTGAGTGGTTTGTAAAACATTGGACCATCAGGCGGGAATTGAACTCGAGTAATACCTATTCATGTGGCGCATGAAACCACTGAACCATCGAGGCACCAAGGTCACCGTTTTGCTACCACGCTTCCATCTGTTCGAACTATCGAAGCTGCTAGCAAGCAGTCGCTAACGGGTTGATGTGGTAAGCACATATCGGCATGAAAAGCAATTGGGCTGACAGCAATTGAGTCTGTATAATCTATTTACGACTCAACGTTTCACTGCTAAAAATCAGTGACCCTCTCGGGATCGTGGACCCGCGACCTGTGCATTTTTGACCGGAACCTCTAGGCAGTGCTTCACCTCTTCTACATCTATAACCCTCGGCGTGCTGCGTTCAACAGTGGCACGCTGGGGGTTAGGAGGAGGTGGAGCAGACTGCTCAGAGGTTCCGGTCAGAAATGCACAGTCGCGGGTCCACGGTCCTGAAAGGGTACTCTCATTGTAGCTGCATAACACTCCTAAGAAGCAGTAGAAATATGGAGTTACAATATTTCCAGCCTTATTTATTTCTTCAGGCTCATACCAAACTGTATTGTCAAGGCAAAAGCAGATCGAAAACGCGAATTTGTTGCCGATGAACAGTTGGAGTGTAGCGACAAGACGGGTCTATTCTATGTACTCCCATTCGAGAGGGGTTATTTAGGTGAGTTTTATCACATATAAGTGTCTTCTCAGTACTCTTTTCAGTGCCATTAAATTTTTCGTTCTAGTTAATCCCGACGTTGAGGAGCAGATTTGGGAGCATGTGTTCGAGTCCTACTCTACAGATGACTCTCGAATAGTACTGACGGATCCGAATTATCTCATACCAGCGATTGAAGACGTTAGTGCCGAGGTGCTATTCGAACAGTATAACTTTCATTCGGTATTCAAAGCTTCAGGTTGGTATACTTCTTATGTTTCAATTCACTAATGCTTCTTTGGTTTCAAGCCAAGTCAGGTGATCCATCACCTCCGCGTCAACCCTTCGAGGACCACCGTTGATAGGCAGGCGACGTCGCGCCGTCGCGCCGTCGCTTGTGGAGTAGTCGCAAGTAGGCGATATCTGCATATCTGTGCGTGCATGTTTGGCCGTCTTCTTGCCTTCACACGAGACGCGACGCTGCCACCACATAGCTGAGTGTGATTTGACGTCGCGCGGCTCGGTTCGAGACGTACCGTATGGAGCTTAAGGCGTTAATTGCGATCTACTAAGAAGAGTTGTCCAGTCCTGTGGAAACCTAAGACTGCTCTTCATTTTTATCTCTGCAACCTTTCACATGTTAATACTTGATGCAGTGGTTGGAGGTGATCTGCGTTGCACGCAAGGTCGACATTGCGATCTTGCGCTTGTGGTTCGCCAAGCCATCCATCCCTCCGGGTAGATAAGTTGGTACCGGATTTGTCCCAGACTTGTCTGGGGGGACAAGTAACACTGACTCGATGCGGCAGTAAGCCACCTTGAGTCATATAAAGGCCAGATGTGCATCAGATTACCTTAAGCAAAGTTTAAAATTGAAGATGAATATATGGCGCATCCCGAAGAGATTGATCAACGCCGAGAGCTCTTATATGTTCAGTAATGCTGAGTGATTTGCAAAATTCCGAATCCTAGTTGGGAATCGAACGCGCATCTCACCACTTTTGAGTGGCGCGCGATAATCAGTTGTGTTGTCGAGACTCCTGTTCTACTGCCACGCATTCTGCGACACAAGGTATCGATCTTTAAACAACCAATCGTCAGTGGTTAGGCCTGGTAAGGTTTGCCTTGACATTGTATCGCATAATGAGTGTCTACAAAGCGGTAGGCTTGCTGGTGCAAGTAGCTAGCCCCGGAAAGCGTGAGATGCGGGTTCGATTTCCGTCTGGAGCTCAAACTTTTGCATATCGCTCAACGATATTGAATATAATCTTTGAAATTGTCCACTGATCATTATCGTGGGAGCGTTCCTGGATGATGAATTGCAATAAGTAGGAAGCCCTTCTCTAACCTGCCTTCTGAAGTGGGAACGTTCGACATCACGAACTTGGAAACCGCCAGGTAAGGGTGTGCTTGTTCCATTGCAAGGCCCAGCAAGCCGGCACAGGCTGCAAAAATAGACATTTGGAAGGGTATTATGGTGAAAGTGTGACGTTCTTCGTGATCCTCATGCAATTGAGGGCCAGCGAAATGCTCCAGAAAGACGATGTGACTTATGAGCAGTTGCTTTCAGCCAAGGGCATTGTGGAATACATTCAAGGTTTACTCAAAATAAGACCAGCAATGAGTTTATTCTTCTTGAAAATCAGTCTCTGTTTGGGATGGACCTCTTGATCGCCGACTGCTCAAAGTAGTAGGGGTGAGCCGTAGGACATATGGTGCTGATGAGGTGTGCGAGAATATATATAATATATATATATATATATATATACTTATATAAATGCATATATACATGCATACATTGCACATGTATATGTTAATATATGTATATCTTTTGAGATGCCATATCAGACTTCTGAAAAGCTTAGAACATTCTGTCAGACCTTTATCTTGCCATTTTTGACTTTCTTCCAGTTTTTTGGATGTATTGTTATGTTTTTAAGGATGAAAATCTAGTCAAAAATGTCGATGATTTTCAAAAGAAAAGTTACTGAAAACCTCGAATAGTTGATTCAATCCTTGAGACGCACTGTTCTTAATGTTTCAATTCTAACGAACCACACTTTATCGCCTAATCTGGTTCGTATCACAGCTTTTTTTTTTCGCTGTACTGGTTTGGTACTTCTAGCATTCTGTTCGTCTCCTCGCTTTTATCGCTCGATTCAGGATTTTTTTTCTTCTCGAACGCCGTTGAATACTGGATGAGCAGTCTGGCAACCTCGAAAGTAGCCAGGCTGGGGTGTTCTATAGAAAGTTCGTTCGGACGGCCGGATGTTCGTGCTTGGTAATTAATCCCGTATCAAACTGCACCGAGCATCAATAAGTCCTCTGCTCCAAGTCCTCTAATCCTGTCATTTGGTATTTGCTTAGGTCCTTTTTTCTGACGATTAGTTCAGACATTAGTGATATTTTATTAGGAACACTGAATAGATGAATTTACTCAACGACGCTGAGTCATATGCAAAACTTTCGAACCCACACGGAAGTTGGATCTACGTTTCACTCCTACCGGGGCGCGAGCTGCCACACACCTAGCGAGGTCATCTCTCTCCTATCACTCTTTTTTTATTATCCCTCTTAGATAGGTATTGAAACAATTCAATATCCCCAATAACGATGAGAATTTCCTTGCCGTCCCCGAGGTAACCAGCTGAAGCGTTAATTGAGATGTTCAACTGATCCACTGCAAGAGAGTGGGGAAGGGGATTGAACTAACTCTTTGCTTGCCTCCTTGTTTACTGGTACACTGAAGCACTAACCACTGCTCTACCTGGTCTCAAATCCGTATACTTTGTAAATTTTTTTCCAGCCGCAGGGTTCATTGCGTTGGAGAGTTCATGTCGGAATATTCGTTGTGTTTTGGTTGTCGATTGTGGATTCTCGTCGGTCACTGTGGCTCCATTTCTTGACGGAAAGGCAGTTCAGCAGGGAATAGTACGGTAAATAGACAGGCTTGCTTGCTTTGAAAGGTTGCTCTCTCTCTCTTTCTTTCTTTCTCTTTCTGTCTGTCTCTTTCCCTTTCTCCCGGTGATTCGTTTAATCAAAACATTTCAGCATCGATGTCGGTGGGAAGGTGTTGACGAATCAACTGAAAGAGTGGTTAAGCTATCGTCATCTGAACGTCATGGAAGAAACATATATAATCAATCAATGTAAAGAGGACTCGTGCTTTGTCTCCCTAGATTTCAAGAACGACATGAAGATTGCGAGGTGAATTTGTCGTCTTCGTCTTGGTCGCATATCATATCTGAGCTTCGCAGAGATTCTATTTGACGACGCCACGCCAATCTTTACCTCTTTGGCGAAGGCGACACGTGAATTTTGTTATTTGATTAGATTATTCCTTGCGGTTTTCGGAAATTCTTCAGGTTTCTTTTTTCAATCTGATACTCCATGTTTTCTGTACCAATTCCTATGTTTTTGTGGCACAAAAACTCTTCATTTCAAAGATTAAACATTCGTCAACTACGTCTCGGTGATGTATTGTCAATATTGCTTTTTTCTTGTTTTTTAGAAGTTCGATAAGCTGAAGGACTTACTCACTGTTCTTCTGTAACTCTGGATTTTATTTAGAATAGGCCTTTTTGTAAGAGTTTCCCATTTTAACGTTCTAACGAAGAACACGATGCTAACTGAGAAGCGACAGGAATTTGAGAGGATGAGGAAACCGTTTTTTTT